AATGGTTATTTGCGAAGTATTTTCTGGCGCTACTCCTTTTAGCAATGTTGATTGTGAAAATGAAGAAGAAAGTAAAATCCTTGCAATTGATATCTGTAACGGGAAGCGACCAGAAATTCAAGATCTGCCCCCTTTAATAGCTGAATTGATAAAACCATGTTGGGATGCAGATCCAGCAAAACGACCATCTGCAAAGGACTTGTGTAAAATTTTAAATGTTTGGAAATATTTTGCATCCTATTCCGAACTTAACAGGCAAATTAATGCATATGAAGAGAATCAGACGCGTCAACCTCTTGGTCGTACAAGTGATCAAATTCATTTAAGTCAATTTCTTCGTACAAGCAAAGTTCTTGATTTTAAAAATCTTCCACCGCCCAAAAATTCTGAAATTGAGATGAATTCGACAACTCAAGAGCAAAATCTTAATCATTAATGCTCAAGATAAATAAAACATATACGAAATTCTATTAGCCAAAAATTTTTTCTTTTCCTTAAATGTCAATTAGAAATATTCTGAAATCCTCTACTTTTACCTTGCTAATTCGAAAAACTTCGTATAAGATTGTGTAATGAAATGAAAAGTCCATTCTACTATACTCTTCAGAATTCTGGGAATTTTTTTAACCCCAAAGTAAATGCACGTTGAATTTCATTGCACAAACAAACCCATAAGTTATGGCACGAAGAGTAAATTTACACTGAGAAACAAAACAAACAACAGGTTTTTTAGCGTAAAAGATATGTTTCCATGAAAATTATATAAAGATTGTTCGATAAATAAAGTTGAACTTTGAACAAATAAGTTAATTAATTGAAAAACATTTTTATTAAAATCAAAAGTAAAAAACTTGGAGCATACAAACGATCTTTTATCTTTAATTAAATATTAAATAAAGATCTCTATTTATGAGAGGAAAAAAAAATTTTTTTCTTCCAACAGTTATTGTGTTGAATTTTATTTATGGCTAATTACTGTATTAATAATTCTAAATTATGCAGTATTTGCCAAGTTATTGGTTTAGATGTTCTGATAAAGAACAATATCACGTGAACATAAATCTACTACTTTTTCTGTTAAAATATAATTACGTACTCGAAGTTAGTTCAATGATCACAAGAAAGTATTTAAAGACTTCTATCCAAATGACCTCACAATCTAGAGCTATTGTAATGAACTCTATTACTTGCATTATGTTAAAAATTCTTAGTTTAACTCTAAAATTTCTTAACAAACCGTTTTATGTATTAAGTGTCAAATTAATTGTAAACATATAATATTATACAATACATGACAAAAAAACTTGTTTTTTTATATTATTAATGTAATTTAATAAATATTAATTCAATTAATATAAAATTTCAAATATATCTTTTTTAAAATCTAGATATATATTAAAGTTTATTAATGCTTAATTAATAAATTTATTTGAAAATATTGATTTAAAGTCAAAAAAAATTTTCAAAAAATATTTATAAATTTTATATAAAATATGGATGAAAATTAAAATTTTACTATAGAGATTTTTTTAAAAAAATTAAATAAAAAAATAAATAAATAATTTTAAGTTTATAAAAAAATTATAAAAGACTTATTATATTTAATAAATGTTATTAAAATTGGTTTGTTTTTGTATTGTATAAAATTATTTTTAAAGAATTTGTAAAATTTTTAAAAACTTTATTTTTAATATAAAATTTGTTTTTTAATAAAATTCAATTGAATTTTAAGTTAAGTTAATTATTAAATAATTTTTTGTATTAAATAATAAAAAATAATTATTTTTTTTTTTGATGTTAAGGTGAGACACTTCTCATGATCTTTATTGATAGAGTAAATATATAATATTACATGATCAATATTAAGATATAAGATATATGGCTATACATATCGGTCTACCACCTATTGTAGTAGATATATTTCCAAAAAACCTTGAGCAGACAAAAAAAGAAAGGAACTATCTACTAAGAAAAATAAAAAATAAAAAAACATTTGGGGCAAGATCGCCATTTAGTAAAAGAAAAAAAGTAAAAAAGAAGAAGTGTCAGAAAAATATTGAAGCTTTTGTTAAATGTGGTTCCTGAACGCAAATAATGTTTCAGTCGGATGATGGCATCGCACAAGCCACATATAACTCGATGGGTTTGATCAGGTGATTTTTGTGATATGTTGCTGTTAAATGATGTGGCTGTGTTGTAGTGTTATAGTGGGGTAACTGGAATACGCTCCAGATGTTTGTTGTTTTTTTTTTTGTGGTAGATTGTTGTGTATTGTGATTACCGGAACCCGCGCAGGGCACTGATCACGCACTCTTCCAATCTGGTAAGTTGTTGTATTGTTTTGATGTGGTTTGGTGATACGGAATATCATTGGTGTTTTATGTGTTGCAGATCTTTTAGTGGGGATAAGCTGATTTCGGTTTTTTGTGTATGAAGGTAGACGAGGACTGACAACTAGCCAAAAGGTTATGTCAATTAACCTGGCACTAGTTGACATCAGCAGAAAACAAAAACTCTGAAAAAATAAAATACTGCCTCTTGAGAAGAAGATTGTGTTTGATTTTGTATGTGTTTTTTGTGATGTGATAGGTAGTAATGTATGTGAATACGGTAAAAAGGTTTTTCTTTGTTTGGAGGTTGCTTACATAGGTTTCATTCAGTAAAGCAAAAAGTTTAATCGAAGAGGTTTTTGCCACTTCCAAAGCATTCACCTCTCTATGGAGAGTTAATCGACCCCTTGCACCCTGCAGAAAGCTAAGATGAACTCCTTTCCCAGGAAGAGGTTCTTGCTCGCTGTTTACTGTCTACCGTTTATGTCGTTACCAAAAAAGGAAATTTTTTACGAATTGAAGGATTGTGAGAAAGTGTTTTTTTTTTTAAAAAAAAAAATAATTATTATATTATTTTTATTATAACTTTTATTTAAAAAATTTATATATTGAAATAATTTTAATAATTTTTATTATTTTTATTTTGTAATGTGAACTAAAATTAATTATTTAAAAAAATTTTTATTATTATATTTTATAAATTTTTTAATAAACTTGTTTTTTATATTCTTAAATATATTAATATAGATTTTTATCTTATTTTATTAATTAGTTATTAAAATATTACAAAAATAAAAATTGATATATAGTACAAGTTTTTTTGTTACAGACTGTATATAAAAATTTTTTAAAAAATTCAATTATTACATTTTAGATACTGTTAGTAAGGAAATTGCTTAAATAAGGCTTGGGAACGTGATATTCACATCACACACCTAATCGAAGCAATGGAAATATCTTAGCAATTACTCAGATAATATAATCAGATGTTTAAATAGTTTAAATAGTATGATAGTTTATGAGTCATAGTGATAGTCTTATAGCAAATAGTCATGTTAATATAAATAGAAGTGACAAAAGCATAAAAGAAAAAAGGAAAGAAATTCAAACCATAATAACAATAACTCTAACTTAATTTAGTAATAATAAATTATCTCTCTGATAGAAGCGTAAAACAGTTGTGCAAGTGTTAATTAAAGATTACTAAAAGTGGTGGTATAATAGATGTGCTTAAAAAGGAAGTTGGTAATTAACCCCCTTCTAAAGTAACGTCTCTGCGAGAGGATCATTCTGGTAGTCACTAAAAGAGATAGTGATTCAAACAATTGACGAAGAGTGACCAAAGAAAGAAGAAGATTAATTATAGGTTCAAGATCGACCAAGTCAAATTCACACTTCAAGTAGAGAAAAGAAGAATAATTTATCTGACATTACATGGTTTTAATCTGCCCCAAGCGACAGACTTGCCATTTCAATGTCAATATACAGATTATTAAAATAGATATTAATATATAATTAAAGATGAATCCCTAAATTATTTGACTTATAAAATTTTTTAAATTAATTATGTTTTTTTTTTTTTTTTTTTTTTTTTTTTTTTTTTTTTTTTTTTAAACACTAGCTGGGCCTTGCCCTTTATACTTTATTAATTTCAAGTTTTTACATATGCTGTTAATACAATTATGTTATAACTATAATTTACTTGTATAGAGGACTATATCGGATTTTTAGGTCAAATATTAGCTTTAAGCTATTTGATTTATTCTAAAATCTAGGTTTTGGAAAAGCGATCAAAAACTAATGTGCCAAGGCTCCATTAGTGTTAGTAAATAGTATGTTTGAGAAATTGTTATGCTTTTCATTCCATTTGAATTCAATATACCATTTGGTTATTTTTCTTGTCCATGTTTTTGCTATTGTTTTCTTCTTTTGATTACTTTGTAACCAGGTTTCCTCTTTGTTTTTCCCTTGCTGTAAGGTTAGTTTTGTCTTCTTCTTTTCTTTATGATGTTGTGTTTCCTTTTTCACTCCATTGCTTTTCTACACTTTTCCTTCCACCACTTTTTGATTACTCCTTCCATATGTTTTGTTATTGCCTTATATGTTTCTTTTACTTTTGTTCCTACTCGACTTTTGATGTGTTCTGTTGTTTTTTTTTGTAAATACACCTTTTGTTATCAGGTTTCTTGTGTATTCTGAGTCTATAAGCTTAAAGTTTACTTGACTTTTTCTTGTGTTATTTACTTTCTTCTTGCTTCTGGCACTCATTTTTCTAATTGCTTTGTTATATTCCTCGGTGATTTTTTCTTTCCAATGCTTGTATATGAGGAGTTGTAGTGTTTTTTCTTTGTCGCAGTACAGACATATTGCTTTTACGTAGAGATCTGGCTTTCTTGTTTTCATCTTGTCATATGTCGGCATTTCTTCATTTAGGATTCTATATCTAAAGCTTCTGCTGCTATGGTTTTGTTTGTCTGTTTTGCCACTAGTTATTTTTGATAGTTGTTTGATCTGAAATGTTGTATTCCAATCTATTTCTGTAAAAAGACACTTTTTTGTCTGTCTTTTTACTATTAAATTTGGAAAGATAAATATTTAATTGTCTTTTTAAAATATTATACTAAAGATGACTTAAAGTGAAGATAAAATTCGTGTAACCTTCCTTTTAAGGAATCTTTGTAAAGACTATAATACCCACAATTGTTTAAAAAAATATGTTTGTAAAATGTTTTGAATACACAAATGATCACACAAGTCTTTATTCAAATATATTGATTGTACAAGTGTTTGAATACAGTAGGAGTAGTGTTCTTCTCCCAATTTGTAAAATGAACCAAATTAATTTTTCTTTAATACTTTTGCTATTATTCTATTTATATAATATTCATTGGCTATAAATATTGTTCATGGGCAAAATCTAATTTTGCCATATAATTATATATAAGGAATAAATATTCTACTATGCTATTAAGTAATAAAGAAACTATAAAAGATATTTAGTAAGTATTTACTTATAACATAAACAGAATTTGTTACAATTTCTGATTATTTTCCATTCACAATCTAGGCCATGTGCCTGTTTTGTATTACCCATTTTGCTAACCATTTAGCATTGTGTTGTCTTTTGATCAGACTGTTGATGTCTGTGTCCAATGCAATGTTTTCCCATATCAAGTGATAATGTGTATCTTTTGTTTCTGGTTGGACTCTGATTTCTTTTCCTTGATATGTAC